TCCGTGTCTTATCAAAAAACACATCCCTTTCCGTACAGATAGTAATCGGCGGTAAATCCAAGCCCTCAGAAGGTTTGACACCAAACTTATAGACATAGGGATAGTGTAGGAAATCTGCGGTTATCTCAAAGCCCTCGTAACATAACATTAAAAAACAAAATGTTTTCAAAACTAATAAATATTTGGATTTTAAGTAAACATTTACAAAATTATAGATTTTCTTAGCAACTATACATAAACTGATTATTATATATTTTGTTAATACATAAATGTTCCTAGCACATATATTTAAATTAATTATAATATATTTTATTACTAAATAAATTTTCATTGCAAATATATTAAGTAAATCCATTGTATATTTCAAATGATTAAGATTATAAGAGATATTAAATATAACATATAAATTTATTATAATTTTGTTATACATTACATTTACTCCAAACTAAATAACTATGGAAACTATTATAAATCAAACCAAACAACAAACAACAATTTATACAATGGGTATTAGTTATATTCAATATATTTTTAAAGTTTGAAAGTAGTTTCATATCATAAATGTAAAAAAAGATTACTATAGTGATTATAATTATACATTTCATGACATCTCTTATAGTACTATACGTTATATGAAACATTATCAAACATTTATAGTAAGCTACAAATAGTAGTGTTATGAAATATTATGAACAATCAATAGATCTATATGCTCCATATACATGATCCATGACATTGGTACCATGTAGTACTAATTAGTATAATTAGTATAGTATAGTATAATTAGTATAGTATAGTATAATTAGTATAGTATAATTATAATTACAGTAGAGGCATACTATTATGTTTTTAAAAAGTATTATCTTAAATATCATTTTGAAGCTTATATCTTTTAAGAAAATACACCATTATATTGGTGCAACGTACTTGAATCTAAAAAACTGACACGTTAGACTACTTATGCCTAAATTATGCAGCCGTTACAGTTTCTGAAAATATTTTTAAGATGGTTGTAGTAAATAAATTAATAATAACATTTCTTAAATACTGTAATAATTATTGCTAAACATTTATTCACTATTTTATGTGATTATATTTAATAAATCTGAAAAAATTATCTCATATATTTCATTTTGGCAGCAAAAGTTAAAATTTAATATAAATTAATTTTGCTGATAAATTGTGTCTGTTAAGTAAAATTTCTTATAAAAATATTAAATGTTTTTGTAAAATAAATATATAAATAACTTCTTGTTTGAATTCATGGTTTAAGTGCTGATCATAAATCGAAAAATAAATTTTTGCTTCATTTTCGCAAATGTTTTATATTTAATAAATAATATCAAAACCATTAAAATGTCTAAAATCCCAAAATTAGTAATATTATAGATATATGTGTTGGTAAGCTAATGTTTTATATTTTGTAAATAATAATTAATTAATTTACTTACTTTTGAAATGAGTAGGTTCTAGAAAATATTTATTTTAAAATCATATCTTAATTACCCAGTAAACGCCGAAATCAATCTAAATGTGTGTAACGATTGGATAACATATGAAAAGTCCAAATGCTATAAAATATTGTCGGAAAATGGCAACAACGACCAGGCCACCGGTAACTGTACTACATTGGATGCCCGCGCTCAAGTCATCATGATCAAAGACCAGAGTGAGCAGGACTTCCTAACAAACATTTTGCGTCAGTATAATAACATGACAAATAGGGTGTGGGCTAAATATAGTCGCTACACAATTTTCCGCAATTTTGATGACCCTAGTGATGAGAGCTGTGGCCCTGCATCCTGCTCAATGCAAATCTCCATTTCCACCATTAATTTCGGTAAATGGTATTCAGAGCCCACGAGGCGTCGTGGACTCATAGCCTGCGATCGCCCCCAGGAGTGGACACCAATCCTATTGAGTACGGCCTTAGAAAATGTGACACAACTGTTAAATAGTCAGCAAAACACTATCGATAAACAACAGGAAATGCTGGAAAAGCTCAGCGATAATACTGTTCCCATAGGATTCATATACATACAACTGCCCAACCAGTCAAAGCCCATAAACCTGTGGCCACTAACTAACTGGTCGGATGTGACACAAGAATATTCCGGACTATTCTTTAGAGTAGAGGGCGGAGACTCACTACCGTTTGGACAAATTGAGCATGCTAACTATTCAAGTATTACTGATGTACAGTGTTAGCATTGATTCTAATATTACATTTGATGGACTAACCCATTAACACCGGTATGCCATAGAAGAGGGTCAATGGAGTGGTAATTATCAAGGTAATTCAGGCAGTAGTCCGGATAAGCCATTGAATAACATTAAGATGTATACATCAAAGGGTGAAAATAGACCCATAAATACAGCCATAAGAGTGTGGAAAAGGGGTTAAAATTTATTGTTAATTCAAACATGTTTTCAATTTAATTATGAATACAAAACAAAAATTATTTTAATATTAAGAGACTTTACAATGAGAAAAACAAATGAAAATTTAATAGTGTAAAATGTGTTTAAAACTTTAAAATTATATTAATAAATTATATTTATGCACAAATTATAATTGTATTAAAATTATTGATGTTTTAAAATAAATGAATTTAAATAAGTTTTATATAAATATTTTATTTATTTTTAAAATACTAAAAATATTTAATATATCGGGTGTCCCATCGTATTAGCACGACTTTTTAATTAATTTTAAAATATTTACAATTATATTTTGCTAACAAAAACTATACCAAAATGTTGGAAATTTATTAGAATTTTATGTGGAATTCATAAAATGTTCATAAAATCCATACCTTGGTCGTAATTTTAGTTTGATTGCATGCATGTCTGATTTTTATGCAAAAAATCGTTATTTTCTTAGAACGTTATGATTACAAAGCATTGATGCGAGCATTCGGTGACATTTGTATAGTACTATTACTATGGTATTACGCAAAACAGACATGCATGCAGTAAAACTAAAATTATGACCAGGGTAGGCATTTGTTGAATATTTTATGAATTGTACATAAAATTTTAATAAATTTCCAACATTTTCGTATAGTTTTTGTTAGCAAAATATAATTTTAAATATTTTAAATTTAATTTAAAAGTAGTGCTGATACGATGGGACACACATTATTTAATATGTTCACAATTTTATCTTTAGTTTCAAAACATAAATATTTAAATAAAACTGATTAGTTTAATAATAGATTCAGTTTTATAAGTATCGATAGTTTATCAAATATTTGATTAATATTTAATGATAAAATAATTTTTACCTCAATTTTGTAAACACTTTTGCGAATAAACCTTATACAACTTTTTCATTTCACAAAAATACACATTAAAAATGACTAAAATACTAAAATTAGTAATTATTTTCCTAATTACAGTAATTGTTGGTAAGTGCACATTATTTTTATAATTAAAACTCAATTTTTAAATTATTAATTTTTGTTTTTGTATTAAATAAATAAAACTATAGTACCGTAATCTGAAATTATTTTAAAAACATAACCTTTATACATTATATTATATAATACTATAGTTAACGCCGGAATCAACCTAAATGTGTGCAATGATTGGATACCATATAAAAAACTAAAATGCTATAAGTTTTATCCACAAACTGCTAAATATCAGGACGCTAAAGGGACTTGCACAAAATTGTATGCTGGAGGTGATACTATCACCATAAATGACCAGGACGAACAAGATTTTGTCCTAAGTAAACTACGTCCATTCCTTAATATAACCAGCCGTGTATGGGCTAGATTTGCTACTATCTCATCGTATAGAAATTGGGATGACTTCAATGATAACGACAGGTGCTGCAGACAAGAATATGAATGTATGCAAATGTCTATTGCTGACTTTAATTACGGTAAATGGTATTTTGAGCCTGCTACTCGTCGTGGACTCATAGCTTGCGAACGGCCTCAGGAGTGGACAAACACTATACTGAGCACAGCCCTAGAAAATGTGACACAACTCGTGAATAGTCAGCAAGGTCTAATTGACATATTGCTTCAGAAGGTGTTAAAGCAAAATTATACTGGTCAATTTAATAACAAAACAGATACCGTTCCCCAAACTGTTCCCATAGGCTTCATATACATGCAACTGCCCAACCAGTCAGAGCCCCGACATCTATGGCCACAGACTAATTGGACGGATGTTACATCAAAATATCCCGGATTATTGTATCGAGCAGAGAGTGGAGACTCACTACCCTTTGGACAAATTCAACAGGCTAACTATTCACGTATTGCAAACCTAGAGACAGTTAATTTAAATACAAATAGTACCGATGGTGTTAAGTCAATGGAGCTAGTTGAAGGTTTGAAAGAGGATCAAAATAGTGTTACGAATACAGAATTAAAAACTCACAACCCTACTGATAAGCCTTTGAAAAATATTTCATTGTTTACTAACCAACCAATGAATACCGGAATAAGAGTTTGGAAACGTGTTTAAAACTTTTAATTTTAATTAATTATCAATTTAAAAGTTAATTTCAAATAGTGTTGTAATTTGAAATTATTACAACATATTTAATAATCTACTGCATAAGCTGTATGGGTTGCTATAATATAATATTTACAATGTTTTTGCAATTTATCCATAGAATGTAAACTTTATAATAAATGTGTTACTGATTTTGTTACTAATTATTAATTCATTATAATTTTAACTACAAGTAAACAAATATGGCATCAAACCATTTACTATTTGTTATACTATTAATTTCAACAATTGGAGGTGAGTTTAATTTTTAAACATAAGGATTTACTGTAACTTTATTTGCTAAAATTATAATATTTTTAAAATAAATCATTAACAGCAAGTCACATTTTTATGATAAATAGTTCTCAATATTAATTATTATATATAATTAATTAAAATTTCATAACAGTAATTAATTAATATTTGCTATTTAATGACTACAGTAGTGACTGCAGTTATAAAGCTAAATGCATGCAACGATTGGATACCATATAAAAACCTAAAATGTTATAAAGTACTCAACCATAAAGGAAATCTATACGAGGCTCTTGGTAACTGTTCCGAGTTAGATATAGGTGCCGATGTTATCCTAATAGGTGACCAGGATGAACAAAAATTTGTTGAACGCATGTTTACCCCATACACGAACATAAGTAACCGGGTGTGGGCCCGGTATCCACGAAAGTCTACATTTCGCAATTGGGAGGAAACACCAGAAGCCCGTGTCTGTCAACCCTACCCACGAAAATGTCCCAGTACCTATCCAATGCATATATCCATTTCCAGTGTTAACTATGGCATATGGTATGACTAATAGACTTGTAATTTGCTAAATATTTATTTAATTTTTTTTATTTATTTTACTATTTGAAATAATTGAAAAATACAAGTAATTTGTAAATAAAAATAGATTATAATAATAATTAATTTTATTTTATAATATTACATTTGTTTTAGCATAATTTTAATTAAAATAAAATAAAACACTATTTAATATGAAACTATTAGGTTTAGAAAATCAAACTAAATTGCCTGAGTTTTACAACCTTAGGTACGACGAGCCGGGGAAACGGCGGGCATTAATAGCCTGTGAGCGCCCGCAGGAGTGGACAACCCTTCTGTTGAGTACGGCCTTAGAAAATGTGACACAACTGTTGAATAGTCAGCAAAACACTATCGATAAACAACAGGAAATGCTGGAAAAGCTTAATACCGTTCCCATTGGCTTCATATACATACAGCTGCCCTACCAGTCTGAGCCCAAACACCTGTGGCCAGCGGCCAACTGGTCGGACGTCTCGAAAGAATATTCTGGACTAATATTTAAGGTGGAAGGCGGAGATGCACCTGTATTTGGTTTAAATAAGCATGCTAATATTACCGTTAATACTGAGTTGAGCACCGGTAGTGTAAGTCCGATCATTGATGGGATACAGGCGAATATGAGCGAGATTGATTTAGCGGATGAAACTTCGGACGATAGTACTGATAGCCCGGTGCAAAGTAGGCCTAATAATAAAAATATTAAAATATGGAAACGAGTTTAAATTGAACTTGGTTAGAGTTTATTTATTCTAAACTACAATTATTTAAAGTTAGCTTATAATTTTTGAATTTTCAAATATTATACTATAACATAAAATTTATTTTGTATTTAATTTAGTACTAGGTTACAGGTTTTAAATTAATTAAATAATAATTTGATAACAGTTTATTAAGCTAATAATAATTTATCTAATAGATAACAGCGAATTTATTATCAATAAGTATTGTATGAAATAAAAGTTAATTACTAGTATGTAGTAAATATTTTGTAATAATTATTATTATAATAAAACCACCATTATACACATTACTTTAAAAATATTTTGGCTGTAATATAGCAAACAAATAATTATTATAAAGTTATTATTTTTTACAATGTCAATTTTACTGGATAAGTTTACAATCTGTGATACTATCGACACATATCTCAAGCAAAACATCATTTTAATCCACATTTTCGACGACTATTGGAGTAAAAAGAGTATACTATTCGTGACCACCGATGACATAGTGATGGGAATGGGATCTAATAGCTATGAGTATCTGGGTTTGGGTCACAATAAACCCGTCAAAACACCACAAATTATTCCGCAATTATGTCATAAACATATCCAACAGTTTATTAATGGCGAGGATTTTGTGCTGGCTATCAACGATAGCAATCACGTGTACGGTTGGGGTCGGAATAGTTGTGGACAATTGGGTAGACATGTGACCGGAGTTTGTGTTTATTTAAAACCAGACAACATATCGGATTTGAATGACAAAAATATAATATCAAATATCTTGTGGTAGTCAGCACTCCCTGGCCCTCACTACCGATGGACAGGTGTTCGGGTGGGGCCGTAATAGCGAGGGACAGGTAGGTGTGGGGATCAGTAGGGATCGTGAAGTTGTGTCACCAGTTTTGTTGGAATTTAAAAATAATTACAAAATCAAAAGTATTTATTGTTTTAATGAGAGTTCATTTGGCATAACGTTATGCGGTTTAGTGTTTGGTTGGGGTTATAATGGTAATCGGCAATTGGGTCACCTTGGTACAAATGAATATATTAAGTCTCCACAATTGATCCAGGGTTTACACAATGCTGAATCAATTAGCGTTTGTAGCAAGGACAGATATTTGACGTATTTTAAAACGGAAAATAATTTACTATATTTTTGTGGTACAAACTATAAGGAATTAAGCAATCACCAAGTACAAACTACCCCGATACAGTCTCATGTGAATTTAAATGTGCTTGATTTTTGTGAGTTGAATTCATTTCATAATTTTAGCAAGGTGGTTGTTTTATGCCATAATAAACTTTATAAAATTAATGCTAAAAATGATTTTGTTAAAATTGATTATAATAATTTTGTGGATTATCTAGCTCATAAATATCAAATAACTTACAATACAGTAAATATTAACACAAATATCAATACAATTAATAATGATAATGAAAACCAGGCTGCATTAAATTCCGAATTAATTCAGAAACGGTTTAATAAAATTTTGAACACAAATACAGGTATTCTTGGTAGATTTGTTGTGAAATGTATATAAAATTTAGTTTGTTTTTATAAAACTTAGAAAAGATTTTGTCAGAAAATAATTACAAAAGTCTGTTCATTGAGTTGTCGGCCATCGGTTCGGGAGGTTTTGGGACTGTCTTTAAAGTAAAGCACAAAATCGATGAACACATATATGCCGTCAAAAGAGTGGAAATTAAAGGCAATTTTAAAATTAAACTAATTTTTAGAAGTTATTTATTTTATGAATATTTTACAGAATCTACTCATGAGTATATGACACAAATTCTGAATGAAGTCAAGAATTTAGAAAAAGTGCACTCAGAATATTGTGTTCATTATTACAATTCATGGCCCGAAGGCAAACACCTCTATATTCAGATGGAGTTCTGTTCACAGAATTTAAGGAATATTCTTGAAGTTAAACCACAAGTATTTGGTCGACAATTAGGAGAAGCCATGGATTGTGTCGAGTATTTCATTTCTTGTGAAATATTCCGTCAGATCTTAGAAAGTGTTCAGTATTTGCATGAATTGAATCCACAGGTCATTCACAGAGACCTCAAACCAGAAAACATATTAATCGCTGAAAATGTAAAGAAAGGTAGATTTGTTAAGTTATGTGACTTTGGTTTGGCTACTGTTCACGACAAACACATTAATTATATGTCTCGTTATAAGCACACTACAGGTGTGGGTACAATAAAGTACCAAGCACCAGAAATAGCCCAGGGAAGTAAATATAGTAACAAAGTGGACATTTATAGTCTGGCATTAATTGGGGCTGAAATATTTGATATGGATTTATTTTTCAGAGACCTTGATAGGTATGAATTAAAAATATTTAATTTTTTAAAGAACTTATTTATTTGAAATAAAATATAGTTCTGAAAGTATTTACTACGGGAATGAAATCCTGAACACAAAAGTAAATGATTTGGAAAACATTTTGCTGTCAATGCTATCGACCCCTCAATGGAACCAAAGGCCTGACTGTTCAGAGGTTTTGGGAAAATATAATTATTGGGCTATCGGTCAGAATATTATTTTTGAAATAAATGATGAAGCAATGCTAGCCAAATTTAATGATCATGTTACATTTTTCAATGACATAATTAAAAACAATTTAAAATTAAATAATTAACAATATTTGTAGAAATATCTTCATAATAATGTATTATATACAATAATATAATAAAAATAATTAATGTTATTTCCTAGCATAAATTAAGATTTGGAAACGAGTTTAAAAGACATTCAAGAAATAAATTTTTTTAAATAATTGAATTTAGCTTATTTTTGTCATAAATATTATGTTCTAATACTAATAAATTTTTATGTAATTTTAATTATTATTAATAACAACAAACTTACTATTCATATTGTCAGTTGATATTAATAAAGTACATATAAATATATAACTGTAGATATTAGTATCAGTGATTATCACAAGTTTAATTTGTAAATATTTATATAAGTCAATAATCTCGACTTATTTGACAAAAACATTTGGGTGTCATTTTGCTAACAAATATTTGCTATTAAGAAACTATATTTTAAATATGAAACTCGCAATTATTTTATTCATAACTTTGACACTAATTTGGGGTAAATATTGTTTTACGGGTTAATTAAAATTAAAAATTATTTTATTTTAGGCTCACTATCAGCCCCGCGACGTAAAAGCTGGAGGCGTTGGACTACCACACCCGACCCGTTAGACCTAATAATTTTGGACTCAGACCCTGATTATAAACCCGAATATGACTGCGAAAACAAGGACCCTGGTGAATCTATAAACATTACCACTCAATCTAATCGTAAACTACCTATGTAAATTACATATCCACAAATGTAATTTAATTATATTTAATTATCTAGCTAACTCAGCCATTGACCTAAACATATGTGGTGATTGGATAGCCTACCGTAAACAAAAATGTATCAAGAT